CCGGTATTTTGGCTTTTATTTAATCGTAAAATTCGTACTTTTGCTAAATTTTTCGAACCTATTTTGTTTTAGCGCTTTATTACTTTTTCTTTGTTAAAATATAAATATAATTTAAATGGTCGGTAATTATTTTAATAGCTTTTTGTAAATAAATTAAATAATGCCGTTACTTTTTAAAAGTTTTTACGATTGCTAGCAATTTTAAATTAAAAATTGTATAGCGTAGCTTTTTTTATTGCAATTTTTTCGATATATAAATTACCGGGTGCTACCGGCCGTTTTGCAATTGCAATAATACCGCCCTTATTGCAAAAGCCAAAGCGTTAATCCGTACGCACAACGGTTTCGAAAGGTCGAAATATACCAATACCAAAACTTTCGTAAATAGCAATTTTAATTTGCAAAAAGCCTTTTTTGCAACATTTTTTAGGTAAAATACGGTATTTTTGCTAAAAAAATCCGTTAAAAGCATAGTAATTTTCGCGTAACTTTTTACGAATTTCCGATAATACCCCGTAAAGCCCAAAAACATTTAAATATTTTTAACGCTTTTTGGTATTTTCCATTTTAAAATTGCAATAACCTTATTCGGCAAAATTTCGACCCCGAATTTGGTTATTTTAAACCCTAAAAAATTAATACTATCCGTTTCGAATTTGCATTTGGCCGGGTTAACGTAAAGCTTAAACCGTTCGAATCGTTTTAGCACCGTTTTTATTGCTTCGCGGTGCTCCTTTTATATTTTCGAAAAAATAAAAATATTATTTAAATATACAATGCAATTGCTATTAATCAATTCCCCAAACGCTATATTAATAAAATTTTAAAACGTTATTGGGGCGTTGGCCAAACCGAAAGGCATTATTAAGTATTTATAATGTCCATATTTGCAGCGAAAAGCAATTTTCCATTCGTTTTTTTATCGGATCCGTATTTTGTAATAAGCGTTTTTTAAATTTAGCTTAATAAAATACTAATTTTTAAATACCCGGTTAAATATTTCGTAAATTAACGGGAATGTTAGCCGGTTTTTTTTGGTAATTTTATTAAAATCCCGATAATCGATACAAAAGCAAAACTTTCCGTCCTTTTTTAAAACGAATAAAATCCTGGCGCCGGCGGGGTTAATTAAATGCTGGATTTAACCTTTCGTTATAGCTTCGTCGAAATATTTCCGGAAGGTTTTTAATTCCTTTTTAAATAAAAAATAAATGCTTTTGTAAAACGGCATCGTTTTTTTTTTAATTCGATTGCGTAATTTTAATTTGTATGTTTTAGCAAAAGGTTTAATTTATAAAGCTGCGCATGTTTTGTAATTATCTTTTTAATTTATTCCGGGAAAGCTTTTAGCCTTTCCCCGGGGTTTTTCGGGGTTTCCGGGCGTGTAACCGTTAATACGGTTATCGTTTGTTTCGATTGGATTAATTTTTTAGTTATTTCCAACGAAATTATTTTAACTTTTTTAATAATTACCGGAAACTTTTATTTTATATCCCCAAACCGGATTTTAATATTTTTTTGTTAAAACTAAAGCATGCTTAACGTAATATCGTACCCGGCCCGGGGCATTATTACGTAAAATACCATTAATTTTCGGGTTATTCCCCAATTGTTCGTTACCCGAATTTTGTATTTTTTTACCTTTAGCGTGGGCATGCGTTTTTTGGTATCGAATTACGCCAAATAGCTTTTATTTAATACCGGTATTTTTTTTGCTTCCATTAAAAAACGGTTGTGCAATAAATTAACGTTGCTTTTATTATTAACCAGCGCTTTTAACTTTACCCGGCGACCGTTAATTCGTAAATACATTTCGGTTTCCCAGCGCGTTTTGGCCGCCGGGGCGCACTTTTAAACTTTAATGCTTAAACGGCTAAATAACGGTATCGAATTGGGTAACGATATTTTGCTTTTTTTGGAGCACGCCGGCCGGATATGGCCCAATTTTCCATACCCGTAATACCGTACTTTAAGCCTTTTTCCTTTCGCTTTTTGTATGGTCGTTAAGGCCAACGGGGTTTCCGGGTTATCCGTTCGTATTTTGTATGCTGCAACAATATAGCTTAGCTGCCCGCATTTAAAGCAAGTAACCGGCTTTTTAAAGGCTAAAATACTTGTATTTTTCGGGGTTTTTTTATGCGGTCCCGATATTATTTTTGTTTTAAGGGCTTTGGTTTGCAATTTTTCCATAATGTAAGGAAGGCCTTTAAATATTACCCGTTTTTGGATTTTGGGGCGGAACCGGTTAAAAAGTAATATCGTTTTTATCCATTTGGGTGCTAATTCGGAAAAATCGTTTTTTACCAAATCCTAACAAATCCGGAACGTTTTAAACGATTTGTAATCCTTTTATTTAATAACGATATCCCCCGCAAGCTTTTTAATTGCTAGCTATATTTGCAAATCGGGGTTTTTCGATTTTATTTAAAGCTATCGCAAAAAATCGGTTTAAATAAACGATACCCCGGTATTTAAGTAATGCATTTGCTTGTATTTTATCCATTGTGCCCGTTAACAATGGTCGAAAATGCTAAAGGTTATTTAAATTTTTATACGGTCCTTACCGTAACGTTCCTTTTTGCTTTTAAAAATAAATTTGTAATCGTTAATGTAATGGGCAATGTTTTGCCAAATTGCCGATTTTTTAAGCATAAAAGGTTTAAAAGTAACCTTGCTTTACGTAAAACCTTTTTGTCGTTTAAAAATATTTTTTTTATTTTTGTTTAAACCTTTATGCGTATGCTTTAACCTTTTGTTTTGGATTTTTTAAATTAAACGGGCGCGCTTATTTTGGGCCTTTAACGCGTTATTTATTTTTTACAACTTTTTTACGGAAAGGTTTTCGAAATCGTTGGGAATTTGCGGGGTTTTTTTGGTATTTTATTCCGGTAGCCCAACGGCCCTTTCCAACGTGCTTAACGTAACGTTAAACGTTATTATAAACGGTACGAAATCGCAAATGCCCTTTTTAAATTTGCTTAATCCCTTTCGGTAATTACCCGGGCCTATTTTTTAAATAAAAAAGGTATAAAAAAAAAATAATATGTTAAAGGTTAATCGGTGCAAAGGCGGGTAATTACCGGGTTACGGGCCGGATACGGTATTTCCTTTGTTAAACTTCCGTAAATTTTTTACCAAAAGTGCTATCGCCAATAAAAATTGTTTTTTTAACCTTTTTTTTGTGCCCTTTCGGGCACCCGGGGGTCGATTTTTAAATTTTTTGCGCTCCAAGCGCTTTCGTACAATTTAAGCTTTACCCTATTTTAGCTTCG